CTTGGTTTTTGATTATTGCTCAAATTCGGGAATTCAATCCCAGTCTAAGGGGATTAGTCACCTTAACTTTTCGAAAATGTAGATTTCCTCATCAGAAGCAAGTGGCACCACAAAGAAAAAGGCAAAGTCACGCCATCAACAAGAGCAACTACAACAAGCGGGAGTACAAAACGGTGTCAAGAAGTCGGGAAACAACAGTACATTATCTACTAAAAAGTCAAAAAGCAGTGCAAGTGACAGCTCGTTGCTGACAGAGGAGCTCAACACTCTCATTCGTTGGGTTCAGTCGGCGTTGGTGGGCATTGAACTAAGAGAAAAACTTGACATCCCAACTCTTGTGGAACTCCTTACAACTATTGATGCACCTTACGAAGTAATCTGTAAATTATTTTAATCTTGTGTTTAATGCATCTAGATTCATATTGTTGTTGGTTACTTTATCGAGCATAAGATTGAAATACGTCCAGTTAATGTGATAGCGCCTTGAATAAGCATTAGTCCGGTGGCATTGCAGGTAGAAAGCATGCTGGTCGCTTATCTCGGCAGCTCTCCTCGTTCAGAGCAGTTTGTACGAGAGTTCCTAGATCGTCGTCACACCTGCTGGCAGTTGCATCGGAAACGTGTGGAGGAAATGCAAAGTGATTCAAAATTGAAAAAGGGCCATAATGATCAACAACCGTCATCGGCTCCTGCAAATAATGAGGGCACTGTGTACTCAGTAAACACCTATTCGGAAGCTAATGACACGCACCCGGAGAGTGTGGTATGTTATCCAGATTTTGAGGGCTTGGCTCTTGTTATTCTGCAATTGTAGCTCTCAAACCACATTTCCTTTTAGCAGTTGGGGTTGCCGGTCTTATTAGTAATATTTCAGCCGTTACTGCCGATTGGGCTTACCGTTTGATTGTTTTTTATGGGTTTCCCGTTGTTCCCTTTTTAGTGGCAGCAAATAAAGCCGAAAAATTGTTCCAGTCGCCGCGGTAAAAAAGGGGGAAAACATCGATCTTAGGGGTTGAAGAAGGGATGAAGATTGGGGTTACGTTGTAACGTCCCCCACCTCTCGTATAAGTGTTTGTTTCCCTTCTATCAATCTTCGATGCACACTTTCTCCCACAATTAGCTTTTACCAACATTTGGTCCTCCTGAATCGCTACCTGTTCATTTTCCTCTCATAGCATGTTTTTCCGTATTCGCTGTTCTTGCTCTGATCTCGTGGTCTCAAATTCGTCATCCCACTCAATCCCCTTTCACCGCTGTTGTCGCTGATTTTGTCCCACCGTTGCACCACTGCTCTAGAGATTATCCACATACGCAGGGTGAGCGAAGGAGTGTGAAAAAGGTGAGAGTGAGAGTGACGTGTCTCCTTTACAATTTCCTTCTATTGGCACGTGTACAAACCGTCTGGTCCGGCCTTCTCACGTCCTACCGGTTGTCCTGCTTCCCCGTCCGTCTGTCCACTCGCCCGCCCGAGAGAGAGAATTGTTCGTCAATTGGCTAGGCGTCGAGTCGGGCTAATAATAAATGATGTGCATGTGTACATATACTTTAAATGTTATTTCAATACAGCTTGTAATCTTTGCGCATTCTGCTCATTGAGACGGTCGGCTGGGTGCGAGTGATTCAGCTGATTTGTGTCAAATGCCGTTGCCCGTGGCCTGATGTGCGTGGTCAGGTCCATGTTGGATGCCAAGTGCTCTGCACACTGTTGGTAATTGCTAGCGGAATTTTTCGGTTGTCGCTATGACGACACTTTGAATGCTGACTGCTGTGGCATTTTTTGCCCTTTGGTTATATCACTGGGCTCCCCTGTTAAACATACATCCGTGTGATG